ATCTATAAAAATCAAGTGTCCCCAAATCATGTTTTTCTTTTAACTTCTGGAAACCGTCCAGCTGTCCTTTCCCTTCTGAAACACACCACGCTGTCACCCCCGTGACTGCCCACCGTTAAACCCTCACTGGGCTGGTTTGAAGTTGCTATCAGAAGCATTTGAACCATTTCAAATCACTGAAACCTGTTTTTAATTTTCTAAACCATAGTTCCAGTGTGTGACCCTTTATTGGATCCACGTCTCCAATCATGCTTTGAATCGGTTTTTCTTTCCACTTAGCTTTCTAATGGGTGTAAATATTATTTAACATGATCCATCTGATCTGGGATAAGCTCATAAAACAAGAAATTACATCAATGCTAATAAGCAACAGTTCAGTTTAAAGTAAGTAAAAAGCACACGTGCATGTTAGTAAGAACAGGCTCTCAGTTTGGTTTGCAGAGTGTACTCACCACTGATGTCGTCTGCTGCCTGCTGCATGCAGTCCATGGTGTGACAGCAGGAGCTGCAAGTGGCAGAAAGAATGACAAGCATGCTCCACCTTCCCACTGATAAGCATCTCACTCTCTGTCTTTTCCAGTTTTACGTCCCTAGGTGGGTCTAAAGGAGCATTAAAGTCTTCTTCACTGGAAGCCAGCCTGACAACCTCAACACACTGACAGATGTAGATAACAGAACAGTTATAGGTTCTGTGTTATGTGGAGGTATGTGACTACAGAGTACAGCACATTCCTTTGGTTTGCACTGTGCAAAGACACACTGCCCATCCTTACACAAATTCAGCAATGTGGTGTCGTAACTCTCAACTTAGCAGAACAAGACTTGAGTTTATTCAGATCTGAGAGTCCAAACAAACTCCAGACAAACAGTAAATTAAACAAAAGTTCATGTAGAGTGTAAATCATATCAGTGCAACATCCCTGTAATAATATTTTAACAGTGGTTTTGTCCTGTGAAGGCTGCCATGAAATAATGTGTGAATATAGTGAATGAAAAGAATAAAGCCACAGAACTGTCAAAACAAGTTAACATTTGTTTGTAAGAACCAATCACCACAATAAACCTGCAGCCTGAGGGCACCCCCCTGAGGTCTCTGTGGAGGTTTTTGATTTAGTTTGACCTAAACGCCACGACATTAAAATCACTGAAAGGGGAAGTTAATAACATCAATCATGTTACGATGCAGTGTTCTGTTGGGAAACCTTGAGTCCTGGCATTTCTGTGGACGTTACTGTGACGTGTGCCAACCATCCCAAACACTGCTGCTAACCAAGCACCAGCCACAGGGTGGTGCAATATCCACCCTGTTTATGTACAATAAACAAAACCACTCATATTTAGAAATAATCTATTTATATTACACTGGTTATTCGCACAATTCATGTCTATATGTGTACATATATTTACATCTGCACTGTTTATAATTGTTACTGTTATTATTGTTATTATATCTTTATGCTTTGTTTTCTATATTTTTATATATATAAATATATATACATCCATATCTTTTCTATATATCCTCATTTTTATATTCTATTCTTGCGCTATTCTTTTTTTATATGTGTATTTTTATACTTGTGTTTGCACTATTTCTCTGTGTGTACTGACAACAATGTGAATTTCTCCACTGTGAGATAAATGAAGGCTCATCTCATCTCATCTCATCTCATCTTATATATCATCAGCTGTGTTTTTCTGCCTATTTGTAGCCACTGTGCTTTCTTGGGTCACTCATATTGATCTAGGCTGCATCAACTTGTATGTTATGCACAATCCTCAGTAAACAGTCTTGGTTCCTGAGTACCATGTAGTAGATTTATGTGAGTGATCTGGGAGGTTCAGATTTCAATAGAAACATCAAAAAGAAATATTTCAGCATGACAATGATCCAAAGCATACTGCCAGAATCACACAAGAGGTTCTAAATAAGAAGAAAGTACAAACTATAAATATGTCACCTGACTTGAATCCAGTATTTTTAAGGCAAAGGTAGAGCAGCACAACACCTCCAGCAAAGAGCAACTAAAAAATGATCACAGGGGCAAATGAAATACTGAAAATTTAAAACTTTTAAATCTCAGTAATGAAAGGTGTCCTTTGGTTTTTGATATGGCAAAAGTAAAACTGTTGGACTTTATTATTACACAAGAGCCCACTGTTTAATTTCTGTTGTATTTTACTGCAGGAAAATATAACAGAGCTGATGTAATTCTAAATATTTCAAATGGAAACTCTCTGAAACTAAACTATAGCATCAATATCAGTTTACTAATATGTTTTTAACAAGTGCCCTCATGCTGATACATTTGATCTTATCTAAGTTTTTCCATTCTTGTTCACCCTGCACTGTTCTATATGACATAGCTGTCTGTGGCTTCCTGCTGGTCTGGTTAGTGAGGTGGCTGCTTTGATCTTTCTCTCCAAGTCAAAGATTCCCATCAGAGAGACTTTAACAAACAATGAAACCCAGAGGCTGAGATAGCTTCACTCTTTTCAAACCAAGGACTCAGCTGATAAGGACACACAGATGTCACACAGGCTCTACGAAGCTTGTTCAGAGCAATTTAGAGAGAATAGAAAAAGATAAAAAATTGTTGTCTTTTCCCTTTTCAAGCCATTTTTGAATTGCTGTAACAAGGTACCACCACCAGGTGGCAGCATTGGAGTGTCTAGTTTTTTAATGTGTTAAATATCTTGTACTACACACCTCAACGTAAATAAGATAATATAAGTTCATTTGTTTTAATGTTTTTCCTGAGGTTCTTTATGCTTTTTATTCAGTCCTACTTGGACCTTAAAACAACAAGTCCAGGACCTGCAGTTACAAACTAATTGTGTTAATTGTGAATTTAGTCCTTTTGGCTGCAGGCTGCTGAAGGGACACGCTGTGGCCCCAAAACCTTCACGTTTCACTTACTCGAGAAATATTGCCATGTTCTCTGCTTTACAGATCGACTGCTTAATGAAGGAATCAATAATTAATGATGTAAAATCACTGATTTTCTGTCATTTGTCTTCATAATGGAACTATTTATTCTGTCATCTGAAATACAGACAGAGTTTATAGCTCCGAGGTTGGATGGAGGATGATTCTAACGCTCCTTCAACCGGATGTATGCATGTATGTATATATATAGGTGTGCAGTCGTGACTCGATAATCCGACACTAAATGTAAAACCTTCTGTCATGTCGGAGAGCAAGGCTGTCGGATTGTCAAGACGGAGGTCCAGATACAAGGAGGGCTTGATGCTGGAAGGCTCATTAGTTGTTCATTATTGTTCACAGTTGTTATAATTACAAGTGTATTGTTAGAACACGACGCATCGCTGGACTTCAGTCTAACTGACCGGTGCGATCGTGCACCTTCCGGCCACTTCCACCCCGGGGCAGCGCTCTGACGGGGTGGAAGTGTCCAGAACACACAGGCAGTACTTGG